CCTCCGAATCCATGGCTTCAAAAGTTGCTATCACTACATACAAAAACACGGATCTGAGCAATCATGCGATGCAGATAAAATCATGATCTGATCATACGGACAAACGCAGGCAAGCCAGTCCAGATAGAATCTCACACCACGGGTTTGATAGTCTTTTTCGGCCGGTGCTTTGTGAACTACTCAGCTCATCCGTACCCTTCGCGAAGAGGTCTGTTGTTTTGGCAACTCAACAAAAATTCATGGTGTATGGGTCTGCGAAGCTATATGGCAAGGTATTGTTACCTCTTCAGGGTGCTTTTGAATCTTGCCACCGGGTACAAGATCAGAAATGATGTGGCAGGTGCATCTTGCAGCTGCACAAGCCGATGCTCATGGTTTTCCGAATGCCACATGAGCGAGCATTGCCCACCCTGAGCTGTCGAAAGACCCCTGGCTGCAGCAAGCAAATATCGAGCACTTCGCTTAATTAGTGCGGGGTCCCTACCTCCACCCGAAAGCAATGCTTTGCAGAAGTCAGCCCAGTTCTTGCGACGATCCAGAGACAAAGGGTTCAGAGGCCTTGGCGTGTTCGGCAGGGTCCCGGGTAAACGTCCCAAGAAGGCGCGGGGCAGGAGGAGCAGCGGTCTTTGGCACGGTCTCTCATCACTCGCAAATCTTTTGCACATGCAAATGGCATCGAAATCCGAAATGACAAGGTTTCTGACAGCGCTGCCCGTCGCCTCGATGCGGTCTCGATGAGTCTCAGGCGCATCTTAGCTGTAGTTGGTTCAGGGTCTGGGGCTTTAAAGACTGAAGACTCAAAATAAAGTGAATGCCGGCAAGAAACCATGCCTTGCAAGTATCGTAAAGCTGTGAATACCATCTGAAGTATCCAAGAGCCCACCATGTGGATGGTTCCGTAGATGGTGAAACCTGAACTAACTTGTTATATCTGGATTGAAGGTCTACACGATAATAGTCTTCCTTGCACTGCGACGACAACGACTACTACTACTTTACTGCTGTTATCACTACTACTATCACTACTCTGCTCCTCCTGGGTCCTCCTCTACCACTACTACTGCTACTACTACTACTACCACCACCACCACCACCACCACCACCACCACCACCACCACCACTTACTTCTGCTGCTACGACTACCACTCCTACTCCTATTCCTGCTGCTACTGCTGCTGCTACTGCTGCTGCACATACTGCTACTACTACTGAGGCTGCTATTGTTGCTGCTGCTACTACTACTACTAGTCCTGCTACTATTACTTTCACTGCCAGTCAATACAAGTATTGCTACTGCTTCTACTTCAACTATGTTACTGCTACTGAGCAGTGCTGCTCGTACTGCCTGCTGCTACTGACTGCTGTTGCTTCTACTACTGTACTAAAAACTACTACTGAGCCACGGGGCCACGATCCCCAGTCCCGGACATTGTCCAGGATGCAGACCTTGAGACTGGCACTGTGCCCCACCCAGTCCTTGATGTTCAAGCGATGAAGCAGGGAGTCGACTTTCCTGAGCTGGGTTTCGCGGGCACTTGGGGTCCGTGTAATTCTGAGATTTATGAAGCTACAAAGTGTTAGGTTTATCCGAGGAGTATTAATTTGGGAATGTTTGGAAGCTCTGGGTTCTTCGGCGTGCACTAGCAGAATTAGGTAACTGAGGGTTAAAACAGGAGCCAGCCAAAGCCAAATGGGGATCTACTGAAGATCGATCAAGTTTCTGCTGAACATCCTCAAGATCTGTCAGCGTGTCTTCAAACCGAAAGGCCCTGCTTAGCATCCCAAACACAGCATCCAGCCGGCTGTGCGTGTGTCCAACACGGCTGTTCAGCAGCGATGCCAGTTTGAGGGCTTTGGTAGCGACCAGCCATGACAAGTACGAGATCACGATTTGATTTTTGTTTTCCCGAACAGTGTTGTCTGCCTGGGTGGAAGTTACGAAAGAACAATGAGAGTACGATACAAGAACTAGAAGAAACCAAGGCTGTCTTTACTTTATTGTTTATGACGACAAATGAGGAGGAGCCCATACCACCAACTCGGCCGGCCGAGGGAGTGATCTGGCATCACACAATTCCATTACATCCTCGATGGACCGGGCTATCACCTCGCAGAGGCCTATGGGGGAGGTTCACACAAGAAGAGACCTAAACCTATTCAAGACATTCGCGACAGAATGAAAACCTTCGTGCCGTCAGCTTAGACAGTAAGTCTAAATCTAGACATATATTCGAACACCTCCACAGTCAACGATGCATCGTGAGCAAAATTGGCATCCACGATGTACAGGGACAGCAGGTATCCAGAAATCCAGCAACCGACCAGTTTCACTCTCGGGCGGATATATTTCGACAGCTCTTTTGAACTCCGGTTCCCTGGATAACGAGGAGGCGACCATTTCGATTGATCCATGCCGTCTATTTGAAGAAACATCAGAGGCCGGTCGCTATTCATAGGGTTCAAGCCCTGGAAGTGCTGCTCCAGCTCCCTGTCCAAGCTCACAGCACGAAGGTGTTCTTTGTATTCCCGCACGAGCCCGAACTTCTTGCAGATGTCCTGCCGATTGGACAAGCCAAGCAGTTGTTTTCAGGGAACTATTTAGGATATGACTTTCTTGAACGAAGCCTGCCTTCTCCTGCTTGATTGCTTGCTTCAGTGTAAAGCATTCAGTGCACTCTGCGAAGTCTGATTGGGAACGGAAAGGTAGGCACTGTGCCCATCTTTTCTGGTAGGTTTCCTTGAAAACCGTGTACCTTATTATCCGTTCCTACAATTCATACACATGAAACTGCAAGAATGACCACGGAATTTAGTTTGCCTCATATAGACTATTCAGGCGGTTTAATTTTAGCGAAGCAACGAAGCCAGCTTCTCTTCGGGAGCCTCTGCCAAATATTGCCTATAGAGTTCCATCACTGTTCCAGGCGGCAAGTACCGCCTCGGGAGCTCTTTGATGTTGAAGGCCTGCGATGTCAGCACGTACCTTGTAGGCTTTCGGTCCGGGGTTCGGGGCTCACACAGTACAGCTACCACCGTGCTTGTCAGATAAGCAACCTGTTCCACAGCTGCTTGTCCAAATTAATCTCTAAACGTAGATCTTCGTCCGCATCTATGGTTTCTCCAGGAAGGGCTAGATCATCTGGGTCATCGTCTTGGTCCAGGGCTTTGCTCATCTTGCATTCAGCACGGGATTTGTTCGCCAGCAAAAACCTGAGTGCTCGGTGGTTGAACACCTAGAACGTGTATTAATGCTCTCGCAATACCCAAAGTAAACTCTGGAGGTCCTTTAAAGAGAATGAGGCCATGACCCTGTTGGAAGAACTTCGGCAATCATAGAGTGTTGCTACAATAAGAACTTGTCGACTGATCTTTGGGGGCTGCTCGGTGCAACGGAGCATTGCACCTGAATCTAGTGTCCACCATTCCAGCCCCAAGTTTGACCAAACGATTCTTTCCGATCCCTAGGAGCGAACACAAGCAAGAACGGCCCACTGTCACTCCCAACAACTGATATGTCCTGCGCGAGGCCTCCGTCTCGGACACCAGGGTGTCTTGAATCTTGGCTGTGAGGCAGGGGTTATTCGGGCTTAAAGGCAGGTTCGGGTCTGTAATTACAATCTCCAAGAGCAACTGACCCTAAGTAACCACTAATCTCAGTATCAGACAAGGATCAAAGGCATCTTGTTCCACTTTCCCCATGGAGTTCAAGTTTTCCAGAAACTCCACCAGTAGGTCGTGTTGAGGTCGGATTTTTCGGAAGCATGACTGCCGGGTGCACTTGCAAAGCTTGCTGTTCAGCAGGGCATCGATTTGTCCAATGTGATCAGCACGTACAGCAGGCCTTAACTAGCAGATCTACATCATCATCTAAGTTCAGGCTAGGTTTTAAGAACACAATCTCATTGCATTTCAGCTACTTGGGTTGCCTTTTTGCAAGGGCTGCCCTTTTCTTGTTGTTGTAGTGCCGACGTTTCCGTACTGGAGCAGCTTGTCTGGAATTGCCTTGCACACTCCTGACAGTCTGGTCTGATTATATTGTGGAAAGATGACACTCTGAAGTCTATCTAAATCACATAAATCCAAGTGACCGAAGTGCTGCCCGCTTCACGTTTTGAAATGAAAATGATGAGGGCTGCTGCCGTCCACTCGAAGACGAAACAACCCCTGGCTCTCGAGACCCACGATCTCCAAGAGCTTCCCGAACACTTCTGCTCAACTCAGAACTTTGGGATTCCTGGACTGGCGCCTTCGCACAGGCCACTCGGACTGCAGAAGACAAGTCCATCGCGAAAATGCTGCACGTGGCAGCTGCAGCGACAAGCCGCAGCAGCATCATCTCATAATTCCAGTAACACGACAACCAGGTTGAGCTGGAACCACATCGGGGGGCTGAGGGGGGGGCTTCATATGCTTTGTGCAGGAAAAGTAAATAGTAACTGACATAATGAACATAGTGCCAGGGAATACCCGATATATGTCTGCATACACGGCTCTCTTTGAAGCTTTGGGGCTGCGACGGACGGCCGTAAACTCAACACGAGTGCAGGGCGCTGTGAGTTTGACAGTCGCAGACGAAACTACAGATAGTACATACAAGCACACATACATCCGAATCAAGTAGTCTCCCAAACTAAAACCCCAGAGAAAATTCCCGTACTGGATAAGAAAACATAGTCTTGCTTTTTTCTTGTTTGAGCCAAACTTAATTAATTATTCAAGATCTAAATCTTTTGACTCTATTTTTTTAAAGATATCTTTGGGTCCGAAAGCGAGTCTGTATATTTTGAGCCAAACTCAACCATCCTTCGACCTGCAGGGTTGTGTTTGAGCCAAAGTCAAGCCTATCTCCATTTGATCGAAATTCAGCCATTCTCTAGAGCAGGAAGGTCTCATTTGAGCCAGACTCAAGAACTTGTATCCTTTGTTTCGTTGGATGTCATGTGAGCCAAACGGTCTGAATTGAGCCAAACTACAGAGCCTCAGATGCAAAAGCTAGAGCCTCAGATCCAGCCAATGTGTTCCTTCATTTCTGAAAGATTCGGGAGTATCGCGCTGAGGAACTCCGCTGCGTCCTGTTGGTTTCCATCGAATGTCCAGCCTCTAGTGACAGGATCTAGGACCTGATGCTCGGGTGTAATTCGCGCTAATTGGCTTGTTCGATACCCCTCCTGGAGTGCGGGCAAACTCGTCGGGGGCGCTACCCAGTGCAGGATTTGCAGCACTGGGTTGGCGTAGCAATGATTACGCCGGTTGGCTAAGAGCCAAAAGCCCTCCAGGATGAAGACCGGGTCTGGTAAGCCTACGAGCTGGGCTCGAGGGGGTCGGGATTGTGTGGACTTTGACCTGGGCTTGGCTTCATACGCTCTCGGGGTCAAATCTAGACCTTGTTGTTGAGCTTCCTGAAGTACATGCGTTTGAAGGAGAGGGACACATTGCTCGGAGTGCCTGCCTGGGGCATCGACCTTGGTTCTGCAGTAGCGGCAGGAATGTCCCTTTTTCATCATGACCTTATGAAGCTGGAGTCGTGGTGTGATGATCGATTGGACTCTGGTCATGACCTCAGGATGCTGACGATTAAGGTGCTGCTTGACTGCCTTGTTGCCAGCTAAGGCCTGCCCACAGAGCGCACAGCTTTCCATGAGCCAGATTTGCAGTTCCGGGTTCATGGCGGCCTGACCAGGATCACGAAGAGCTTCCGCTTTTACTTGCTCGTGAACTTGTTCGAGCTCCGTTACGCTTGCCTCAGCCTCTGCCTGGTTTTGAAGCAATATGCTCACGCGCGGACAAGTAGAGGCCTCTACATGATGACGTAAAAAGAAGTAAGAGCGGAACAAACGACCACATGCTAGGCACTCAGGGGTACCGGCCTTTGCGTCCTTTTTGGGGTTAAAGCGTGGGCCTTTCGGGAACAGGCGGGCGCCAGGGTGATGTTTTTGGGAGTGTCGCCTAAGTGCTCCCGTGCCTAGAAACAGAGATCCGCATTCAGTACACACGTGTTGCTGGTGCTGATCAGCGCCGCTCGCTCTGGCTGCTGCTATTAGGCATGAAAGGCTGTCACGAAGAGTCTCGGCTCTTGGTAGGTAGTGCTGTAGAAGAGCGTCCTTATCACCCTTGTGCTGGCGTTTAAGGAACTGACTCAATCGCTTCAACACCTGAACTTTAGCTGTCTTGAGGCCCCTGCGCTGCATGAACTTCTCATTGTTCTCGCGCGTGTCCTGGGAGTAGCTCCTCAGGACGAAGCGCAGCTGGAAGATCATGTGTGACTCAAGTTGGGCCAACCCTTGTGGTGTCAAGCCCACCACGTGCAGGCCGTACATGGCCGACGCCCAGGCGGTAATGCACCAGATTGACAGTCTTCTCTTGTCCGTGATTGCTCGGCTATTCCGGACTGCATGTGCAACTTCCTTGAGGGCTGCCTTGCTGGCTTGCAATCGATGTCGTAGAGACTTCATCTCGTAATCCTGATAAGATATGATTATTCCCAGATAGGGAACCTGACTTTTGAGCGCAATCAGCCTACCTGAAGGAAGCTGAACATACCTGACTCCCTGCTTGGTTATTATGAGGCTTTGCCTGACCTGTTGGGCTGAGCCCCCATGCATCTGAAGGAGCAGCGCCGATTTTTCAGGATTAACTTTGAAGCCAAGCTCCATTAGTTGATCCAGAAGCAGGTCACAGAGCTGAAGCGATTCTTGTAGCTGTTGTTTGTCATCGAAGTGCATTTGCAGGAGCGTGTCATCCGCATACATTGTGAGAATCCGCTGCAGCGTGTCTATGTCACACTGTTCTCCGAGTCTGCGAAATAGTAGGAATGTGGCAAATGCAAATAATGACGGGGCTAATTTGCATCCTTGCTTGATGCCACGTCTCGTGGCAATACTGAATGCCTGATCACTGGCTGTCATGTCGTAAAGAGCCTGAATGTGGAGCTTCCCTACCAGGTCAATGAGGAAGGGGTCCGCCTCTGCAAGCTCCAGTGATTCTCGTAGTCTTCCACGATCTACCATGTCAAACGCCTTGCTCATGTCGACACTGAATGTGAGGCTTCCCTGTAGCTTGAGACCTCTGTGACCGCGCCCTGCCTGTCTCTGCGTGTGGCTTGCTCGTCCTCTGGCCTCGTCTACGTGTGTCAGCGCCTTACATATTGCTTCCTCCGTCCCCCGGCCTGGTACAAATCCGAATTGGGTCACCTCAGACATTGCTGCTCGAGGTGTGGGCTTGAGTTGTTTCCGCAAGTGACCAGCTAACACCTTGCCTTCAGGTGCTATCACACCTATCGGCCTTAGGGAGGCCGGCTTGTCCGGTTTCTTGGGGGGTTTTGGAAGCCAGGATATGCTGGAGCTAGTAATTTTGGGGTCCATGCTTAGTGCCTGGGCCTCTGTGTTTAGGAGGGTGGCGATGTGTTGTTGAGCTACCGGTCCTAAACTTCTCCAGGCCACAATGGGAGGACAGTCACGAGGGACCGCTTTGCCTAATTTGATAGATCGAAGCTGATCCGTGACATCTGCCGTGGTTATGCCGAGAGACCCTGTGGCGCCCCGCAACTGAAAATCATCACCTGTGCTGAACAGGTCCTTGGAATAGTCTTCCAGGACCCTTCGCTCTTCCTTTGCAGTTAGGAATCGGCCCTGTGAATCGCGGAGTTGCACTCTTTCATGCGTCCTGCCTGTCTTAAAGGAGCGAATGACTTTATAAAGAGAATGACTTCCGTCCCTTGAGCTCTTGGCCTCGGCCTGAGCAAGCTGATCGTCGATGAGTTTTTGACGTTGCTCAAACTTGCGACGTTCGGCGGTACGAGCTGCTGCGCTCTGACGCGCGATAGCAGCCCAGGAGCGCCACACTATGCGTTGTTTGAGTTGCGCGTGCATATCCGCCATTGCGAGAAGAACCTCGGGAAGCTCGCGCAGGATCCTGCGATAATCCCACAGGCCCGCGCTGAAACGGCGATGTTCGATTCTCTTCCTGGGGAATTCTAACTGCATCGCCTTCTCCATGGACTGCCGTAGGAGTTCCCAGGAAGGCTCAATCCCTGCTAGATCAGCGTCAACCATGCGTGCGTAATTGGCTATGCTGTCGGGATCCGTCCGGTAGCGGTCCTCCATGAGTGCTTGCTTGGATCGGTTGCTGTGTTGTTAGAACATTGCGAATTTTGGAAGAGTTATATTCATGTAATAAGTACCACGGAAGTGTTTGGTAAGACGTTATAAGTACTTCTAACCATGATAAAGGACTTATAAGTTCTATAAAGTGAATAAGGATTTGGAAGCGTTATATAATATTTGCATAACCATGATAAACATGTTAAATATGAACAAAGCAAAGATAAAGTTAATAACAAGTTAAGTAGAAGTTAGGCCGGCCGGGGTAATAAAGTTACTAAGACAATAACAAAATTACTAAATCCTAGAAGGTGTTTTGTTACACCGGAAACCATGTGTTTCGTCCCACCACTTTTGCTTATTTTCTGCTCTGTTTGCAGTGCAACTGAAGATCAAAGGTGCGGAATTCTCCAAGCTTGTGCCAGCTCAAACAGCTTCTAGAAGCTCGTGGTTTAGTTTTTTTCGTGGTATACAAGGGTTTAGGATTAGGGTTCAGGGTTTATTATGCTGTTGTTGAAGGTTTTTCTTGGCACAAGGGTAGCTCGTGTAAGCTCCCGTACAGCCTTGTGGAGGCTTGCAAGTTAGGATTGGGGTTTAGGGTTTGTAGGGTTGTATTTTAAGCTTTTTTCTTTGCTATAGAGGGTAGCTTGTGTCAGCTCCCCTACAGCTTGTGGAAGCTTGCAAGTCAGCTTGTGGAAGCTTCCAAGAGAGCTTTTGAAAGCTTCCAAGAGTTGTGCACTGTGGGGCTGCATCGAACCATGGTTGCCCGCCGGCACTGCACTGAGAGGCACAAGAGTGACCCGAAGAGAGGGCATGCAAGGTGCAGGTCGTCTTCATGGCACGGAACAACAGCAGGACAGAAGCACCATGCAAGGTCTTGAGAAGCAGCACTTAGAGCTCGCAAGGGTCATGTGCAAAGTAGTTTAAAGCTTCGTCGTCGCAACGATGGATCCGGCTTTGGTGGCAGAGCTTAACTCCTTGAAGGATGATAGGCATGCCGCGATAAATACGAAGGTCGGGCAGATGCAGACTTTGCTGGAGCGACACGGGCACTTGTACCAGGTGGCTGTGCTGCCTTCGCAGCTGCTGGTGCACCCTGCGAACCGCTGCGGCATGCTGGTCAACTCTTACGACTGCCATGAAAAAGGCTTCAAGGCTCTCTCTGTTGGCTTTGATGCGAGCAAGTTGTCAGAAAGTGTTTGCTTCGAAGTGGCGAAGGACCCAGTCGTCAAGGCGATGCAAGTGCAGAGCAATCTCAAGCTTGTGGCCGCATCAGAGAACCGACTTGCTCCTGTGTCTTCGTTGGAGCGATACTTGACAGTACCGGCTTCACACGTGTCACAGTTTTGCAAGGCAGTGGCCAGCGGCCACTGCAGCACGGAACATGAAGTCCTGAAGGGTGTGAACAACGGTGCCCTCACCATGGACTCCTTGCAGAGCAAGTTCAAGGACAAGGTCTTTGAGCAGCTCTGTTACAAGGGATGGACTTGGAAGTGCATCACTGCAGAGACCGAGCAGGCATGCCCCTGGATGCCGGCGATGTTTCAAGCTGCTCTCAACACTGCAGGCATGGTGGCCAAGGTGCCGACAGAAGTGGAGGTAGCACTCTCTTTGTGCCACTGGCACCAGACACATGGTGGGAGCATTCAGCAAGCCGTCGAAACCACACGGTTGACGATGCCGTTGGCCTACATCGAAACGGTGTCCGCCTACGTCTGCGAGTTCGGAGGGGAGGACAACTTCGGTCTCGTGTACCTCCTCGACCAGATATCGAAAATGTTTGGCAGTCAGCTCTTCCTCGGCGAAGAGTTTTTGACCGCCATCACCTTCGTCGACTTCAAAGATGCTGACAGCAGGTATCCCTTCGTGAGAGCTGCTCTTTGGGCTTGCCAGCTCCACAGCCCCAAGCATCATGACTCAATCTCTCGCCTTCTGAGCAAGACAGATGTGGAGAAACTCAAGACAGCTGCCATCAAGCAAACAGTGAAGAATGCAGAGCAGCTACTCAAGATGTCCTGGGACATCTTGGAGAAGCTTGGATGGCTGACTGAGAAGAAAGGGGTGGGCTTAATTGCCAGGTTCATGATCAGAGTCGCCCTCTTCGTCTGCAACAAGAGTGGCAAAGGCAGAGGGCCCCATGTGTACGAGACCCTGGCAGATGTACACACGGCTTTCTCCCAGGAGCTTGAGGCGGTGAAGAAGGGCCACGACCCTGCCAAAGCGCCAGGTGCAGCTTCCTCGAGCTCTGCAGCTGGCAGCCCTGCGAAGCGGATCAAGGTTGTGTCCCTGGAGGCTAGCAGGGCATGCATATGGGTTTATAGGGCTTTGCGGGGTTGTATAGCCTTTCTATGTAGGGTTCCTAAAGGGCTTAGGGTTTAGGGTTTAGGCTTTAAGCTTTAAGAGCTTTCGGGTTTAGGGTTTTAGGGCTTTGTTATAAGCATTTTTTCAAACTTTGTTGCAGAGCAGGACAACTCTTCTGCTGCTGCAATCGCATTGCGGCAGCATTCCTGGTTGAAGGTGGGAGGCCGCTACTCCAGGAAGGACTGCACCGATATCCATGTCTTTGAGGCAATGACAGATCATGTGGCCCGCTTCCGTGTGGTTGACCC